ACCATCTGCCTGAACGTTCACCCCCCCCCCACTGCTATTCCAAACAACGGGTTTTTCTGGACCATTCCAATTTGCCTCATAACTATAGGGGTGCATCTGCAATATTACATTGACCGCGAAAGCAGCAACGGCAAAAATACACATTCGTGCATCAACACGGGCATGCCCGCAGACGGCGTATAAAATTGCATGCCGATTACACAAAGAGAACCCAGTGTTTTGACTGCGAACACGAAAAAACGACTCTTCACAACACTCCGTCCGGAGGTCCTGAACTCCTTCACGGAGTAATAAAATTTGTAGTAGGCAGAATTGTGTCAGTCATGCCGATTTTAATCCACGAATCTACCTTATCTTATAACTCATCGTATCTTGAATTTTAATCAATTAACAACTTCTGATACGACCATTTGCCAAACTAATTAACTAAGAATAACTTTCTATGGCTAGCTGAGTGGAACTAGAAACTCCATTCAAAATTTGTATAAAGTGAAACATGGTGTCATTGCAATAATACACAACATGTCAGTTATTGCTATCAGTGCATTGTACAATTCTCTTCTCTTTGTATAAAAATAACAGACATAACCAACACCATAAAATACATGTATATTATGAAATAAACAAACGATTGGATGTTATATAATTGTACTAGGGTTAGCTTTCTTAATTTGGTCCCTGTGAGTTATAATATTGTAACATGACTATTGATATCAAAACTTATTTTAAGTCACTAAAATCGTTTGATATTGAATTAGGCTTTACTTTAATCTCTTTGAGGATATTGGGGTATAAAATGGTGAAGTTTTATAAACAAGTTTTGTTCCAATAGCTTAAGTTGAGCCGCATTTCTCTCTCCTTGTCCACAATGCCAGAAAATGCTAGATGCATTCGAATTTAATTTAGTGCACGTCAGCGCACGGCAAGTTCTTAGAACGAGTTCTAATGTTCGAATGGAAATAAACCGGTCAGAAGGACCTGTTCTCAGAGCTAAAGTCGGAAGAAGAAAATCGTGAAGTTTTATTAACTGTTGTTCCAAGAGCTAAAGGCGAGCCGTTTTCCTTCCCAAAGTTTTCTCCATTCTCGATGGTTTCTGGAAGTGCCTTCGTACATGCTAGATTCGAATTTAGTACGTTCGTAGAACAGAAAAAATTCTAGATACGTTCGAATTTAGTGCACGTCAGTACAAAGTACGTTCTTAGAACAGAAAATGTTAGATGCGTTCGAATTCAGTGCACGTCAGTACAAAGTACGTTCTTAGAACAGAAAATTCTAGATGCGTTCGAATTTAGTGCACGTCAGCGCAAGGCAAGTTCTTAGAACGAGTTCGAATGTTCGAATGGAAATCACCCCCACCCACCCCGCGTCAGAAAGAACTGTTCTCAGAGCTCAAGTCGTAAGTAGAAGATCAAGTTTTATGAACAATTTTTGTTCCCAGAGCTAAAGTCGAGCGGTTTCTCTCTCTTCGTCCACAATGCCTTCTCCCTTCCCGAAGTTCTCTCCGTCCTCGATGGTTTCCGGAAGTGCCTTCCCCTTGGTTTCCGGTAGCAGCAGCGCCAGCAGTCCGGCGGCGATGGACGTCCCGCCGAAGATGACGTAAGGCAGCGGCGTCCAATAGACGCCCAGCAGGTCGATGAACGGCGCTACGATCCCGCCAACACGAGCCATCATGGCGCCCATGCCGACGCCGATATTCCTGTAAAATCACATAACGTTATATATAGTATGCATATCCGAAAATAGCCAAAAAGCCCTATTTTACACAATTTCAAAGTGGTGTATGAAAAGAAACTTGTTCGAAACTACAAATCTAGAGGCCCTACATTCGAACCATCTCTGCCAAACAACGTTTAGCAACAACAAAAATCAACGTTAACTACACGCAAACTTGAACTCCAAAGTTACCTGATGACGGTGGGGTAGATCTCGGCTGTGAAGATGTAGACGATGGCGAAGGTGGCGGTGATGCAGAACTTTCCGATCATGGCCAGAGTCGTGGTCAGCCAGAACAGGTCTGTAAGGTACCAACACACATATGAGCAGGGGAGGAAGAAAGAGGGGTAGGCAACTGAAAAGAGAACGGAAAAGATGTAGATGGGTAGGAAACATGCATGTTTGTGTGATGTTCAGCACCAAGGACAGGCATGTTCACCTGTGTGTGGATAGTGTTCAGCACCAAGGACAGGCATGTTCACCTGTGTGTGGATAGTGTTCAGCACCAAGGACAGGCATGTTCACCAGTGTGTGGATGGTGTTGGGCACCAAGGATAGGCATGTGTATGAAGTAGGAAACGGAAAAGATTTAGAGAGGTAGGCAACCAAAAGATCTAGGGGGGTGGCAAAGATGTGAACTTACGCTTCGGAATGAAGAAGGCAACGATACAGGCCAAGCCTCCGACCACCATAAGACTGGACAGAGAGCAGCGCCTTCCAAACCTGACAAAAATGACAAGAAAGAAACAATTTATTAATTATTCTGTTAACTTTTGATCCAACACTTCAAAGAAACCACATGACAAGCCTCATTGGGTCAGTCTACTGAGGAAGACCAGAGTGACTGGTCAAAAGCTCTACGTGAGAGAATTTTTTGTGTTGGATCGAAAGTTCTAACTTTTAACAAACATGGATAGATACAGGAATTAACAAATGCATTAATAAATAAAAGTTGATAAACAAACAAACAAATAAACACTGACTTGTCCAGGATGAAGATAGAGATGATGTATGCCGGAATCTCCACAAATCCGGAAATGGCGAAGTTCAGGTACAAGTTTCCGTGGAACGCCGCCGCGTTCAGAGATATCCCATAGTACACCATGCTGTTCACAGCCCTGGAAGGGGGAGGGGGGCACAAGCAGTGTTAAACGCATCCAATGCAATTTCAGAGCAGCAAAACTGGAAATATTCTGAATAAGGCAATCTTTGTGATATTGACACATACTGCTTCACATTGGCACATTTGAGTCAGAATATCATACTTTGGGCTTTTAAAGCTGCAGAAACAAGCCCCAAGATGAGGCCTTTTTTTTCTGGGTGGCACCCTAAAAATCAGCCTAGGGCCCTTCCAGTAACCCTTTTCCGTCAGAATATTGGGTATTTTTTCTCCATGAGGGTCAATATACATTGGGATAGTGTGGTTTAAACTCAGTATGTAGATAAATTACTAGAATATTGGCTTTGAAAAATCGGGTTTCCAAGCCCTAAAAACTGCACTTTAACGCCATGTTCAATCAATCAATCAACCAACCAATCAATCAATCAATCAATCAATCCAATATAATTTCTAAGAGTATAAACAGAAATCAGTACGTGTGATCCTAGCAAGTGATCACTATGTTCCTATGTAAACATAGAATTTTTTCAGCAGATCAGAGTCTGTGAGGACTGAACGCATGTCTCACCAGTTGAAGAACAGGTTGAGGGTCCACTTGCACAGGTTTGGGGTCCGGAACAGGTCCACAAACGTGTAGAGGGATCTTTCAGAACCCCCTTCTACGTCCTTATAGTAACAGAGAAGATAATAATTCTATCACAAACTTCTTGTCTGAAGGCTCATTGTAAGGAACATGGTAAGCACATCAAATAGAACCAATGACAATGAACGTTATTGCATATTCACACCCTACATGGGCCAAATACACTACGTTAGATAACTGAGGTATAAGGGTAGGAGGAACAAGGGCTACATTACTGTGCTACGTCTATATCTACACGATCTCTCTTTTTAAAACAAGTATGAACAAATTTACGTAGTTTTTCATTTACATCGTAGTTCCTGGATGTCAAACTATATTTGAACAATTCTCTTTTCGGTAAGTGCGTATATACAATAATTAAGTGGGAAATGTGGCTACTCTCATGATGGTATTCGGGAATAAATTTGTTTGTGGCCATTTCCAGTAACCAACATGTCTGATTGGCGACAACAGTCGGGATTCGGGATTCGAACTCCCAACCTCTAGGTTATGAGCCATTAACAACACACGCTACCAAGTATACGGTGCAAGTGTAACCATACCTTTGTGACAGGAGTATCGTCATGGAACACTTCATCTGGAAGCGCCACCTTGGCAATCTGCAGTTTGGAGAATCCAGTTAAAGTTTGTTCGTGGCCATTAAGACACACTTCCATACCACATTACAGACATACTCGGAGACAACAAACTAGAAAGAAAATTAACTTAAAAAAAGAAAGGTCTCCCGTGCCCTTATGCAGAGCGTAGGGTGGTGCCCATATCCATTTCTGTAGCCCTTGGGCGACACACAGTTGTGCAAGGCACTACAGCAGGGGGCTAGTCCGCTGGTAGTGTTGTGTGTCTGACCTTCCCACACTCTTTCTCATATGTGCTGAATGCTAAGCAGAGAAAGAAGTGTTTACCTTTGCTCCTTCCTCCACGATGACTTTGGCCTCGCTGTGACGGTTCCTGGAGATCAGCCAACGTGGAGACTCAGGGATCAGCCTGGAGAAGCAAGACGTGTTTTTTTTTCTTTTAATAATTTGCAGTTGGACTATACTTTGTAGTTGAATCAGCGTGGACCCCTGGTAAACTAAAGTTTAAAACACGCCTCGGCGACGTGATTCTCTTTTGATCAAAAGTTCCGCTGCAGTACCAAGGTAATCCACTAGGGGGGCCAAACTCTCATCATTTCTAGATATAGTCATACCCTAAAAACCCACCAAGTATGAAACCAATCCATCCAGCCGTTCTTGAGTTATCTTGTTGACAAAATTTAATTCCCTAGGGAATGCATTCGTGGAATTCTTAGAATATTTTCAACTCAATTCGCAATACTATACCAACAGCTCCGTCCCTGAGGCGTCGCCAAAAAGCATTGTGCACTCATTATCAGCACAGCATAGTGGCGTCGGTGGCACAACGGTTAGAGCGTTGGACTCGGAACCAATAGGTACCGGGTTCGATACTCACCATGGCCCTTGGGAAAGGCACTCAACAAGACTTTCCTCCCTTTACGGTGGAGTGACGCCCACCGAGCCTCTTAGGCTAATCTGCCTAAATGTGTGCCAAAACACACTACGGCTTTGGTGCCAACATCAGCACATTGCCACCGAGAGCCGTTAAACAAATGAGCACAGCTTACCAGTAGTAGGCGATGCCGATGAGGTAGGGCATGGTGACGGCGATTTGGAACCACATCCAGGACCGGATGAGGTAGGCTACCCCGGCCAGCAGCACGTATCCCACCGCCCAGTAGATCATGATGATCATCCCCACCAGAGTACGCTTCTCCGGACTCACCATCTCAGCGCCTGGAAGAGGAAAACGAAGTCGTTCGTTTACGTCGATGAAGGTTAGACATCCAGGTACTATATTAAGATACGCCAAAAAGCAGTTTCTCAAGCAACTGAATATGATTTTGGAAACGTACGTACGGTCAGACGTTTCAGCTAGTATCCACTAGCTTTTGTTAGTGACTAAAAGACCAGAGGAGAAATCAGGTTTGACCCTTTGCTGGCGTGCAGCATTTCTCCTCTGGTCTTTCAGTCACTGACGAAAGCTAGTGGATACTAACTGAAACGTCTGACCGTTTCCAAAATCATATCCAGTTGCTTGAGTAACTGCTTTTTGGCGAACGTTCCTTTCTTTAACCGTCTTGGAACACTCACTCACTCACTATCTGGATTAATTATCGTCTGTTGTTCCCCATCTTCCGAGGGTTAGAAGTGCTTGCACTGCAATACTGAGGCTTGATGGCAGCCCGCCACTTGCCTATATCCTGTGGGTTGACATTACTCAGAATATGTAGGTTCAAGTGGTGGAAATCCTCCCTTACATTGTCAAACCATTTCTTCTCTGGTTGACCACGAGGGCCAATGTTTGACCAATAAACCATCTTCTAGCTGGAGGATATGATACGTACCTATGACGAAGGGTATCTCGAAGATGATCATACAGGCAGATGCCATGATGAAGCGGAAGGCCACGAGGACGATGAAGTTCGGTGAGAAGGCGGAGGCCATGCCGAACAGGTACAGCACGGCAAGCAGGACCAAGAGGACCGGCTTCCGGCCCCAGCTACAGGGTACAAGTACATGTGTTCATTTGTTTATTTTGATTTTTCATAACGTGAAAGGGAGGGCAAAACAGGCAAAACACCTTTACAAGTTGCCCTCCCCCATACAAAAACACATACACAACATCAAAATTTACATTGTCAATAACAACAAGTATAACAATACACAGAATAGGCAATCAGTATAGAAGGTTAAGCATAATTCAAATATATCTAATAAGTAGTTATAATATATTGTGTTGAAACAAGACTTAGTGAGGTCTAGAAGCAATACAAGAACTACACCCACAAGAAGTAGTACAAGTACATGGCAGGTCAAGACTGTAATGTGTGTTAAATCTGTTGTAGGTGGCCTTGAGTAGTTTATGTTTAAATGATATGATATCCGATGTGTATGATATACATATGTATGATCACGAAAGTTCATCTGTGTCGGTAGTAATCATAGTAAAATGTTGAACTTTACTCCCACACCAAGATTAGACACCAAATTTTTTCAACAACCGCCTTCATCAGGATAATCTTGCGAGATTACGTTTTGAAGTGCTTGGTCATTCATTATCCTGCCTGATGATGACGCCAGCAAAGGGTCAAAGTTTGTTGGAAGTCAATAACGCCCCCCGTCCCTAACGTTTGGTGAAAGTCGATACCGCCCCCCGTCTCGCTGCACACCAGTTCATAACTTATTTTAATAACACCACATACAAAAACAGTCTTGAAAGTTCATCTGTGTTGGTAGAAATCATTATGAAACAAGTTTAAACTGTACTTTCCAACACAAGAAATTGGACTCACCCAACTTTTCGACTGTACAACTCCAGTTTTTGTCAAGAAATGAGCAATCCACCGCTTCCGTGACGTCACGCAGATAACACACGTGACTCCATGAGCAGTGGATATAGGTTACAACCATCCCTCAACAGAGACGGGGGCGCCACAGACTTTCTGCAACCAATGATCCACTGCTCACGGAGTCACGTGTGTTATCACGGAAGCGGTGGATTGCTCATTCCTTGACAAAAACTGGAGTTGTACAGTCGAAAATTTGGGTGAGTCCAATTTCTTGTGTTGGAAAGTACAGTTTAAACTTGTTTCATAAAAACAAACAGTTCTTAATGTATAATAAGCTACGCAGACTAACATACGATGTTTACATACATGTCTGCCGCGTGTCCACCGAAGAAAGAGCCGAACATCAGCCCAGCCATCCACACCGACTGAATCATGTTCACCTGCCACTTCTTATCACACACCACGTCCCACTGGAACAAACAGCACCGACATTATAGCAATCAACTGGTGAACGTACCAACTACTAAGTACCTAACATCAACCCAGAAAAGAACACAAAATAGTCAAGTACCAGACGCCTTGTTTACGGTGTTCTTAAAGGCATCTAATGCGATTTCAGGGCAGCAAAACTGAAAATATTCTGAACTAGAGTTCCACGATCTCATACCTTCGCCAAATGATGTTAATCTTTATGTCTGACAAATTATACATTAGATTATTCCCCCCTAATCTAACAAATAGGAACCTAATTTTCATGAATTATATCATTTTATCATAATCTCGACCAAAAGACAGTCTTGTAATAACAAACAATGCATTCTAGTATTTCCTAATAAATTATGCGAATGAGGTCCTGATTTGAATAAATTATGTTTAATGATGTTCACCTCAAATTAACTTTAAAATACCACAAGTATGAAATTCCAGACAGTTATCATTACATAATTATAAAATTTCTTCATTAATTATGCAAATTAAGTCATTATTAACATAATCAATATCTGCCTGTGTTTCTCTCGTTGTCAATTACCAATGTCACAAGCTTCAATTGTCTTATCATGGAATGCAGCTGATTTACAGAATTTCCCCATAAATTATGCAAATTACATCCATATTTGCATAATTGTCACATAATTATATCAAGCATCACGTAAGCTACCTACATACCAAAAATCACGACGATCCGTCAACCGGTTCGTTGAGTTATCCTCTTTTTAATATTCTCAAGAATATATCCCTGCAGTTCCAGAGCAAGCCGTTAGGGGGCCCAAACTCACGTCACTTTTTCCCCAGCACAAGAGCTACCTACCATCCAAATTTCATCACCATAGCATGTCTAGATCATGAGATATCAAAACCGGAAGTTCAGCTGCAGTACCATAACAAGCCGCTAGGGGGTCCAAAATCTAATCATTTTGAGGTCTCATCAAGACCTACCCACCTACCAAGTATCAAGACAATCCATCAAGGCCTTCTCAAGTTATCGTGTTTACAGACAGACAGACACACACACACACACACACATACACGAACGCCTCTGAAAACATAACCTTCTTGGCGAAGGTAATAAGGCGATCTTTGTGATATTGACCCACACTGCTTCACATTAGCACATTTTCAAAAAAAGTCAATATTTCATACTTTGGGCATTTAAAAGAAACAATCCCCAAGATGAGTCCTTTATTTTCTGGATGGTACCCTAAAAATCAGCCCAGGGCCCCTCCAATAACATTTTCCGTCAGAATTTTGGTATTTTTATTCAATATACATTGGGACAGTGTTTCAATTCACTATCACAACTAGATAGTTTCAATTCACTATCTAGATAAATCAATAGAATATTGCCTTTTAAAAATCGGGTTTCCAAGCCCTAAAAACTGCATTGGATGGCTTTAAAGGATGTTTTTTGTGTAGTGTAATTAGTTACCTGAGTGACGACCGTGTTCTCGAACTGTGACCTGTCATACACGTATCCCTGGTCGCACTTTATCTTGGTCCTGTTGGCTACCGGGTACCTGTCCACAAAATCTTGGTACGTCGTCTGCAGATCTGAGGCAGAGAAGTTATAACTGTACCTGAAAATGAACAAAGCAAGAAATCTGAGTACGTCGGTGAAGGTTAGACATCCAGGTAATAAGATACGCCAAAAACAGTTCCTCAAGCAACTGGATATGATTTTGGAAACGGTCAGACGTTTCAGGTAGCATACACTACCCTTAGTCTCTTAGTGTCACTGACGAAAGGTAGTGGATGCTACCTGAAACGTCTGACCATTTCCAAAGTCATATCTAGTTGCTTGAGTAGCTGTTTTTTGGCGTAAGAAATCTAAGATTCCAAAGATTACAATGTTCACAACAACTTACAATATAAGATACCACATTCAACAATAATACATTTGCCAGTAATCGCTACAAAACTGAAAAGATGGGTGATATCACAACTAACAGCGAGCAGATTATTTTTGGACTGAGCAGAGCTGTTTGGATTAGGACTCTAGCCCTTTACTACTTATCCATTTGGTCTGTTACACAATGGATCATAATACCCCCAGTGAGACCCTTCATGATTCATTGAAAACCCCAAAAAATCTCGAAATAAATTTCGAAATTTTTTGTCATCTCGAAATTTTTTTGTCATCTCGAAATTTTTCAAAACAAATTCGAAACTTTTTCGAAAAATCTCGAATTTTTTTTTAAATTTGGAATTTTTTCCCAAAAAAATTCCTTCGCGAAATTTTTTTTCAAAAATCTTTCCCAACCTCATGACCTTCGCGGAGTACAAACACCGACCTGAAAAAAAAAGATCGAAAATCTTTTCAATCTCTTCTTGAACTGTAAACTTCATTCATACAGTAGAATATCCTATAGCTACAAGAAGTGGAAAGAAGCATCGTGGCAAATTGGCGTACTTTATGTTCTTGAGTCATTTTCATTATCAGTATTATTATTTGAATTATTGTATAGTGGATGGTTGACTGTATACATTTTCTTCTGATTTATGAATAAAAAAACACCGACCTGAAACACTGGCTCTGTTTCCACACGTCGCCTTTATCTGGATTTTTTTTTCGAAAAAATTTCCTTTCCAAATTTTTTTTTTTTTCAAAAATCTGCCCCAATCTCATGACCTCTTAAAAAATACCGACCTGAAACACTGGCTCTGTTTCTACTCGTCGTCCTTTATCTTGTTTTTTTTTTTTCCGTAAAAAATTTCCTTTCCAAATTTTTTTTTTTTTTTCAAAAATCTGTCCCAATCTCATGACCTCCTAAGCGGAGTAAAAAAAAAACACACCGACCTGAAACACTGGCTCTGTTTCCACTCGTCGTCCTTTCTCTCCCAGGGGACGGTGATGTTACGGATCTCGGCGTCGGTCGCGTTCAGTCCCGTGAAGTTGACATCAGGTTGCCGGCAGCTGAACTCCGGCTCGGCGGCGATAAAGACGATGCCCATGGTCTGGAAGGCGTTGAAGATGGCCGGGAGGCAGACCAGGAGGTAAACCCGCTTCTGCCACGGCCCGAACCCGCCTAGGTACTTCAGGGCCTTGTCGTAGTTCACCTTGATGGAGTCAGAGATGCCCTGGATGGAAACACGTGAAATGTGTCTGTCTTCTTTCTACACATTGCATATTTTTAATAATGGTTTATTCGTCATTCAACACTTGTACAGAAAGGCAGGCTCCATTAAATGGAACCTGAATTGTTCTGACAATTACATCGGATTAATTAATAAAAGGTTAGCACACATTAAAATCATTATACGTCATTGATTATTAATATGAGATAAGTTAAAAGGTCATTCATTTAAAATAACAGATGTACACACAAATTACAGGCAGGATAAACAATTCTATGAACAGTAGGATATATATGTATAATGCGTACTCTGAAGTAAAAGCTAGGAATTCAGCATCCGAATCATGTAAGGAATCGCACTAGATCTATATCTTTCAGTTCTACAGAACACAGAGTCTAGTTTGTGGGATGAGCGAGTCGTCCTGCCGCTAATCGAGGTTCTAGACGGTGGCAGTAGATGACGGTGCAGCTTAGACTGTTCAAGGGACTTGGCAAAGGTCAAAGTCAGTTTCTTTTATTAGTCTAGCGGCATATATAGCTGGCAAAATCAGCCGAATTGTGCACTTTTGTCTAAAAGCACCAAATTTGGTAGTTGAAAATATTCTAAGCAAATCTGGATATGGAGGCATTTTCATTTTTGCCCAGGAGCACCGTGACGTCATATCTTGAATTTAGAACCCCCAAAATAGGCGAAGCGTTCTAGTGCCCTAATTAAGGGGGAGGGGCCAAAAAATTACACATCAATATTTCTCCCTGAAAATTTATATGCCACTTTAACCTACCACAAGGTACACACATCTTGTTTCAATATCGCTCTTCTACGAAAAATTATGAGTCTTTAAATCCCATTTGTTTAGTAATTTTTATCTTAAAAATATATATTAAGTTCTTTTTTTACTCCGCGGAGTAAGGAGATTTGCCTCCTGCTGGAGTATTGTGGTCAGTTGGTTTTACATGTTCGCAGGTAAAACTCGCATTTCCCTTTGTTTTGTCGGCATGCAATTTGGTACATTGTCTACAGGCATGTCCGGGATGATGCCCGTATTTTTATGTTTACCGTAGCTGTTTTTGTGGTTAATGTATATATTTCAGAGAAGAGGAAGAATTAGATATATTTCAGAAGTACCCCCATATACTTTTGGAACTGGCCGCAGATAAACTGTTATTATACTTTACATATAAAATATTTTACATTCTAAGATTAGATGATTACAGCATTATCTCGGCCTGGCTTCGCTGTCGAATATTGAAACATTATAAGAACAAAACAAAAATGTTATTTTGTCTGGCTCCCAGGATAGCTGATCCATACCTGATCTTTATCCGTGGCGGTCCCGTTCGCCTGCCCGTCAACTAGCGCCTCGTCCTCTGGTTCTCTTTCCGCCATGTTTCTTCGTCACCTCCCGCTGTAGAAAAAAATCATTGAGTGTCAAAGCTGTATTTCAAACCGCTTTAAGAAAAGAGCTGAGTCGCATCAAGGGCGGCGCCCATCTACGTTTTCAGTAGCCCTGGGCCACACATTTCCCAAATGCTGAGTGCCAAGCAGAGAAAGCAGTATGTACCATTTTTGGTACATACTGCTTGGTATACATGATTTGGTATTATTAGATAAGAACAAATAATTATTAAGTAACGCAATTTTTGGGCAATCTGGCGTTCGACAACTAGATACTATTTGAATTGTCAATAGCATGTATGAATTCAGGACAACAAATATTGTGCTACGTACACGGAATTAAAACGACTTATTATGCTTCACGGAGTATTTTTGTCGGTGTTACAATGGGGACAGAGTCACGAGCATCCGTGAAGCCCTCACGACCAGATGATGATGACAATGGGGAGGGGGGGGGCATGATACACAGATGATGATGACAATGGGGAGGGGGGAGGGGCATGATACACAGTCATGACAGTGAATTGCTATCTGTTAACGGCACTGACCACTAGAACTCTATATAGCGAGTCCCTGGTAGAACGGATTCTTCAGCGAATCTTATATTGGCGAGTTGAAGCTGTTCTTTCAACGTCAGCTTGGGAAGGAATCATTCTTTGAGGAGGAATCACTATTTCGTGCGCTGGAGCTGGAGCGGGGCATTCGGACTGCAAAAACTAGGTCACTAGACTAGGTCAAGCATGAGCGGTATCTCTACTGGAATTTCTAGGAGGGGCCTGCATACCCTTTTTCGTAAGGCGTAATCAGGCCTTTTTAGTCTCCGTAATCCATAGGCAATTAGTACATTAGCCGCAAAGCGTTAAGTCGTAATCAGCTCTGAAACTTTAACGTAATTCGTAATCGGCGGCGAAAATTTTGTAATCACTACACACCAACCCCCAGCCCATGCAGGCCCTCTTCTAGGACTAGTAGTAGTACGTATTTACACCATATGGGCTCTAACACTGATACCTAGTACAACAGTTGTACTCACAGAAGTCAGTAAAGTTTACGATTATGGAAAGGAAATCTTCTACGCACCAAAGTTTTCACTTCTCGATCTAGTTCCGCTTGAAAAAGAAAAGGCTGACAAAGGATGCTGCTTGAGTCTTGGGCTGCTTGAAGTGTGTTGGATTATCAAGGTGTGTCTTGGGGGTATTGCCTTACGGTACCGTTAGCCTGGTTACCAGACTCCACAGGCTGGCTTACTCGGGTGTTTTACCGGCCCCAGTCCTCCTAGAGGCCTCTGCTAACATACTAAAGCTTTACGCTGCTATCCAGGCTACTATAGGCTGACCTGAGCCGTGCCAAAGAACAGGGCCCTTTGACGACCTTCCCAGCTGGAAGTCTGTGAAAAATTTCCGCCTGATCTTTAGCGGCTGACTTAACTAGGACAACTCCCCGCGTGCCTTGTCAACAGTACCGACACTCGTGTCAGTTCTGGCTTCCTCTATATCTAACAGGTGGGAATCTAATCTTCTTCCGACATGTTCCATACGGCCGCACACCACTTCTGATTGTCTTCTTTCGTTTAGTTTAGTTTGTTTAGGATCTCCATTAGTGTGAATTTCACACTACTCTTCCTGTAGTCCGTAGTGAATAATCAGACCAGTATTTGGACCATCGCACACCGGGGCATGCCCCTACTCTTTTTTCGAAAGGTGTGGTGGGTTCTTTAACATGACATGTGTGGGGTGTGGCTCTCCCCAAACACGGGACCTCCATTTAACGTCCTATCCGAGGGACGTCGCTAGCCAAGCTAGGTACTCATTTACACCTGAGTGAAGTGAGGAAAGTGCCTTTCCCAAAGTGGCATCGGGCAGGATTCTAACCCGGGACCTCTCGGGTCTGAGCCGAACACTCTACAGCTACGCCACACGACCCCACCAAGCAGATGTTGAGATCGATGTTTTTTGATTGCCCAACCTTTCCGTTGAAAGTTGTTTACCAAAGAAACCCTGTTGACCTTGGCACATACAATATCACCGGCCCTCCCGTTGGTCTATTTTATTATATACTATCAACCGGGCATAACATGACAACAATGATTGTTGTAACAATGTCAGGCATGGCAATCTGCGGTAAACAAAAGGAAATGTCTGGACAACAAGTTTGAATCCCTAGCAAGACCAGCGCTTATAACGTTCTTACACGCTACTGGTAGAGAATTTCGAAGTTGCCTGTTTACTCGTACAGTGTACTTTCAAATCACTAGCTCATTGCTGTGTTACATACAAAATGTAATGTATAGCTGTTATGTGATATCTATACACGCCAGAAGCACTATTCTAATGATTCAAAGCTTGGAGTCCTACCCTAGTGGATTTAGTCCTTTTTACTATCGATATCATACTCCAAACATGAAACATATGCATTTACTCATTGCTGCAAGTTCTAAATATTGCACAAACACATGAAAATGCACAGGCAAACACACATAAGTCTGGACAATCCATAGTTTCAAAACCAAGGTCACTACTAACTAGGTCTTGAAGCCTTACCGCAATAGGAGTTTGCTCCAAGCGTTTTCGCTGGCGAAGCTTTCTCTAGTTGTTAGCTTCAGTCCAACCTGTGTACCACATGCTCCACACACACTGTATTACGGCGAGGTTGCTATTGTGCTTTATGCTCCAACGATCGTGTTAAGACAAGTGGTTTTGAAAGGACGCAGTGGGTTGGGCACTACAATAATAGCGTTGACATTTGACCTGGGATAATGTTACGACAGAGAACGTTGGAACTTGCTCAACTAGTCGCGGACAAAAGTGTTTCCAACCAGCATTTTCTCATGAAATTTTATTTTAACGAATTGTGTCTACTGTTAACTTGAAGAAAAAAATTTTGTCTCAAAGATGGACTAAGTAAATTAGAGTTGCACTGACAAGGGTACGGACCAGTTGCAAGTGCGCCACGCCCCATTACTATTGTTCCATTAGGGTAATGTTTACCACATCTTACGCCACGCCAATTTAATTTGTTGGCTCTCGGATTTTTTCTGAAATGATATGAAGCGTCAGGGCGAAAAAAAGTAGAATAAAAACAGCCCTGGGCATCCTATTATAGCCCCAAATACTTCGATAGGAGCAATGAAGTCAACACAAAAAAATGGGTTGATATTTAAACTATGAATTTTGAACTTTTAATCGAATCACTTCATTGATAGATAGAACCGAAAACTGTAACAACTACCAAGAAAAGGACTTTTCTCAACTGACGGGGCAAAATATTAAGCATTTTAGTTGATTCAGATTGAACCAGAATCTTTTTTTGCAAATCAGAAAAAAATGAAGAGGCGAATCCGAGAACCAACAAATTAAATTGGTGTGGCCTAAACTGTACTTCTGATTCCTCTTGGCTTTTGTTTTTTTTACACACATTCTTTAACGTACTACTAATTCTACCACAACACATGAAAGTGGTTTCTGTTAACCCCCTTTTGTGACACTAAACAATCTTACAACCTACAGGTATTTTAATCTCCAAGCAGATCTTTCGGTGGCTGCAAAGACAGTATCAAATTGGTCAGGCTGTATCCATTTGCCACACACCAAAAAAATACCAGTACAAAAAAGAAACTCAAATAAAAGTTAACGCCTTAAAAACACGTCAAAATAATCCTAAACCTCTGCTTGGAGAGTACAAGTGTGTAAAATTGTAGAGTATGACAACATTTTTCGTTACAATAGTATATATCCTGCTTATTGGCTAGGTTACCACAATTAAGGTAATTAATTAGGGCAATAAATATCCAATTATGATTACATGATAACCAATTGTGACAATTGTGGCTACAAGACAACCTCAATAGAGACAATAGGCCTGTCAATGAAAGTAGTCTGGATATAGAAAATAAACTAGAAAGGTAACATTTGCAAAGCAAATGCATAATGTTTACCTTCGCATAATCTGCTCTGTTAATTCTCTCACATTCATATATATGGTGGCAGGAGTCTAAATCCCTCCTGCTATAAAATTGCAACACAAGTTACCATGGTGATAGACTGTCTAGCCCAGGTCATTGACCTTTTGTGTTTGGAGAAGAGGAAACAGGGCCAAAATATACATTTCAACAAAAACATATATTTCAACATATTCCACTGAGCCCTGAAAACCCGTTTCCAACCTGGTCTAGATCTTGTGTCCAGTCTATTATGGTTTGGGTGGACCGCCTTAGGGCATGTACTGACGTTTCCCACCACCCAGTTCAACTAGGCTCCCCCGAAGGAGTTTTACTAGCCTGGTTCCCAGTCTCTCGTGGTCTGGGTGGACCGTCTTAGGGCCTGTACATAAAAGTTTCCCACCGACCAGTTCAACCAGGCTCCCCGGTAGGAGTTTTACGCTCGTAAGTTAATTTCATGTCAGAATCTAAGAGTGGTGAACGTCCTTGGTCGTACAGAACCCAAAGCCAAGGGGAGCTGAGTTGAACTGGGCGGTGTGAATCGTCTACAGGCCCGAAGAGATTCCGTCCAAACCACGATAGGACTGGGCACCAGGCTAACCTGGATGCCAGACCCCAGCACTGGGTCCTGTATCTAATACTAGTATCCAAGCTTTGAGCCTAGTGTGCTATGAGCCTGGCACCCAGGCTACTTTCCACCGAGCCAAAACTTCTGTGATCGCCCAGATACTGGCTAGCTTCGAGCGACTTGCTGTGTACCCCTTCTGTTAGCTGTGTACGCCGTATCCCAAGTGGTCCGCTTCCTTACAGGCGCCGGTAAAATGAAAACTCACCACTTCAAGTTCGTACACAACACGCAAGGTGCAAAAAACATACAAAAACAAGCCGCCAGGTGCCCCAACATCATCATTTCATCTTTCATGTTCTACTTACCAAACGTCAAGGCCATTTATCTATTATTTATCAGCCTTTTCGAGTCATCGTGTTCACAGAGTACACAGACACACACACACTCGGACACATACACTGAGACACACACACACACACACACACACACACACACAAGCACGCTACCCAAAACCATAACCTTCTTGACGAAGGTAACTTCACTGATTCTTACAATTCACGTACCTTTTTCTCTCCCTCCACGCGTTGAATGTACAAGAGCACGAGTGTTGACGCTGGAGTTGTCTCACACAAACAGACAGTTTACCTTGAAGCTACGTAGTCGGACCGGTTTACCGGTTACTTCATGTAATTAGCCATGATTTAAAGGAGTGCCGCATTGACAGAGAGCTTTTTGTTACAAGGCCACAGCAAGTAAATTTTATGGATGACATCCACCGCAGATTCCAAATCTAATGCGAGAGAGCGAAAAAAAAGGCGGGCCCAAAAAAAAGATTCCTACATTTTGAAATGAGACTTGAAATGATACTTATATTGTGCTAAATTTAGTACCAAATATTACAACATCCATTTGTCACTGAAAAATAAATGTTTTCAATCATTGTACAAATGGTTTTGTTTCAGTGAACATCATTTATAAAATAATGTAATGCATCACTGCATCAAAGTAAAAAAACAAAACAATAATCATAGAGTTGTCTTGTCTTCTCTCTTAATTTCTATCTGTCATCCACGTTCCGACATGGCAACAGACATCTTTGCCCATCCCATTTTCGGCATGTTGACTACTTTCAAAGGGCCGCAAAATTTCTTTTTTTTCAAAATCAGGCTAAAATTCATGCGTGCATTGATGTCAACCATAAGAATTACTTGCTGTGGCCTAACGTTTAGCGTTAAAGGGGCATTACGTAACATTTTTGGCATTAAGTCCAATGAATAAATCTTGAATCAATGAATTTGAAGAGTAGATTATTCGCCATACCATACTCCATGACATTTGTTCAACCTTCATACCCACGTAGATTTCATAATGAAACCAACTTTTTTTCCAAACTTTTTTATTTATTCGCACGCTCGCATCAGTTTTGGGGTCCCAGATGATGTCATCCATATAATCAAATCAACATGGCCTATTATACGATTGTACTGTATTCCGTAAAATTGCACTGTATTCCGTAAAATTGCACTGTATTCCGTAAAATTGTACTGTATTCCGTAAAATTGCACTGTATACTCTGTGTACCCTGTAATTGTACAAGCCCTTCTTAAAAATTCCCCCCCCCCTCGTCAATGGTATAGTCTCGTGTCAAAGGTTATGTTATTTTAAGAACTGGCGCGGTACGCAGCAGTGGAAAAACTCGCTGAATATTTTGCTGTTTTTCTCTCGGTTTCCAGCCGCTAGATGAGTGGACTATGTTCGCGTTTGGTCGGCCGGTCGCTGACGTGTCTGAAAACGCCAGGATACCCTTAAACATGCTACCTCCAGGGGTAAGGAAAGTTCTAAAGAATTCTAGTTTGAGGGGGGAGGGGTTTTAAAAGGGCCGGTGTCCTATGGCCCAGGTATTACTAATAGGCCATGTTGATTTGATTATATGGATGACATCCTCTGGGAACCCCAAAACTGATGCGAGCGTGCGAATAAAATAAAAGTTTTGCAAGAAAAAAGTTGCTTTCATTATGAAATCTACGTGGTCATGAAGGTTGAACAAATGACAGAGTATGGTATGGCGAATAATCTACTCTTTAAATTCATTTCTTTGCATTAAAGTTTTTTGTTCGATTTTGGCATTCTACGACGTTGGAATCGTTTTCAAATATTTTTTTGCAACTTTCGGTATATATTTGCTCATTTTGCAACTGTTTTGTACAATTTACAGTGTGGTTGGAAACTTTTTTTTTTTTGGAAACGGCCGAAAATTCATGCGCCCGCGGATGTCATCCATATAATCAAATCAACATGGCCTTATATAAAGGGGAGGGGTTTTAAAAAGGCCGGTGTCCCATTTACTTAGGCCTTACCAATTTAATTTGTTGGTTCCCGGATTCGCCTCTTTATTATTTTCTGATTTGCAAAAAAAAAAAAAGATTCTGATTCTGAATAAAATCAAAAATGCTCATATTTTGCCCTCAACAGTTGAGAAAGTCCTTAGTTGTTACAGTTTTTCCATCTATCAATGCAGTCGTTTGATTAAAACTAATAAAAGTTCAAAATTCATTGTTTAAATATTAACCCAGCCTTTTGTGTTGACTTAATGGTTCCTATCGTATCATTTGGGGCTATAATGGGATGCCTAGACCTGCTTTTTTTTCACCCTGTCGCTTCATATTTTTTCTGAAAAAATCTGAGAACCAACAAATTAAATTGGTGTGGCTTCATAAGTACTGTACTCTGATCTGGAGTTAGATATGTCATTTGTACACCATGCATAGTCTGGACATTTTTCTTCTGACTTCCACTAGTGACTGTTTTAATTTCCTCCACACTAGAAGGTTTCAGCATAATCTTGTGGGTTTGCGGAAAAGGCTGCCTAGCCTGCAGGCTAGCCTGGCAGGCTTTTGGGTTTACGGAAAAGGTGGGCGGGGCTAGGGATACTTTGCAGGCTATCCTTTCTGTGCCCCAAAGGGTGTGCATGGGGGTTTTGGTCTCCAATGAATATACTTGTCTTTACAGCTATGGGTGGGCTGTTTAGGGGTGGTAATTACTGCTATTAGGCCACACCAAGTAAATTTTATGGATGACGTCCTCGCGCGCATTGATTTTGGCCTGTTCCTAGAAAAAAAACAAGAAATTCCGCTTCCTGTAACTATGACCAAAGAGTCACGACAGTGCCACAAATCGTTAGGTTGACGTGAAACCCGTAACGCCAAATGGGTAAAGAGCACATGCTTTGTTTCTGCAGGCCTGCAAAAATGTGATGAAAGAAACAGGACAGGACGATAACTGCTGTTCCACCTGATTCATTGCTTTTTTGATGATGAATAAAAGACTTCTTGCTTGTTACACTGTGTCACGTCATTCAATTTGTGTCCTAACATTTATCGTCTCTTAGTTTATTTCTAATCTAGGCATCTTGTTTTTCAGGGCCTTTCTTGTTTTTTTCGCCCTCTCGCATTAGATTTAGGGTCTCCAAAGGACGTCATCCATAAAATTTACTTGGTGTGGCCTTAGCAACTTTAGCAAGACTTTAGTCATAGAAACTATGTTTTTATTTATGAAGAAAATCCCAACTATAGAAATGGTTCACATATGGTCATTACTGACTGAGCAGTTTTTACTTTTACAGCAGGAGAGCACGGCCTGTTGGAGGTCAAACGTAGATGAGGCCCTGGACACTGAATTACACCATGTAGCGGAGAGAGGGGACGCAGCAGAGGTCAAGGTCAGTTGAAGGACAGTAACCCCTCATATACGTTGATGAAGGTTAGACATCCAGGTAATACGATACGCCAAAAAACAGTTACTCAAGCAACTGGATATGATTTTGAAAACGTCAACCCCTGCACCTTGAGGTTTTCAAAATCATATCCAGTTGCTTGAGTAACTGTTTTTAACTCCTCATATGTTGATATGCATAATTCACAATATATAAAGGTATGAAATTCTGCACCAGAATTTGCATCAATGGATCTAATGTCAAATTTAAATACATGTTATTCTTGCTCAAAAATATTCATTATATGGTGATACCAGCCCATCCAACTGTGTCCACCACTTGCTACATAATGTAACCCAACAACAGCACAGCACCAGTTACCATGGTGACAGACATCTGGTCTAGGTCATTGACCTTATATGTCTGAAATGCATGGAAGAAGAAGAAACAGAGCAAAAACAATATGTTTCCTTCTATGAAGGTAAGCATATTGAGATGAACTGAAATGTACAATTGTTGTGCAATCTACAGAAGAAGGCCAGTATTAACAGGAGGGATGACACAGTAAAAGTTGATACTGTCCTGTGATTTCAGAACCTCCTGTCTACAGAAGAAGGCCAGGCCAGTATTAACAGGAGGAATGACTACGGCTGCATGCCTCTTCATCTTGCAGCTGCTCAAGGTCATCAGGAGGTCATCAGACTTCTGGTCAGGAACAAGGCAAAACTCAACTTCCCTGATGTCAAGGTAGAGTAAAGTTAGTGAAATACAGCCAGTTGCTACTGCACTCAATACTGCATGCCTGCAATGCTCGTGTTTTATGCTGAATCACGGTTATACCGGCTATACAGATCCATTTTTTACATAAACTGGTGTGTTACACTGAAGCATGGTTATACCAGCGGTACAGAAGCCAGCTATACAGATACAGAAGCTCGTGTGTTTCACCCAAGGGTGGTTATACCGGCTATACAGATACAGAAGCTGGTGCGTTACACTGAAGCATGGTTATACCAGCTATACAGAAGCTGATGTTTATGCTGAAGCATGGTTATACCAGCTATACAGATACTGTGACATGTACAGAAGCTGGTGTGTTTCACTGAAGGGCGGTTATACCGGCTATACAGATGGTGTTTTATGCTGAAGCATGGTAATTCATGTATCAGCTATACAGATACAGAAGATGGTGGTTTACACTGAAGAATGGTTATAACAGCTATACAGAAACAGAAGCTGGTGTGTTCCCCACCCCAGGCCCAGACCCCTGTCCTGTTAGCTGTGAAAGGCAGACACGTTGGGTGTGTGAGGATTCTCCTGGAGGCTGGAGCAAACCCTAACGGCTGGCAGAACTCTCTCTGTACACCCCTCTATCAGGTAATTATACAGTTGTAGTTTACTCTGCCTTCACAGTGGTCAAAATCCTTTTTTTCAGTGGCCTGCAATATTGAAAATATTGAAAATGTCTCTGCAAAATGCAGAGTGCAGATGGGTATTTCTAACACTGCTTCTAATAGCAACAGTCTAGTGGGATCACAGCCCTGTGTTCCCACATACACCACTATGTACGAGTGACATCCCTGTTAGATTAGTCCAGCTAGCTCAAGATCATCTCTGTTATTTCAGTCAACACAACATTATGTAAACAAACTACCAATTTGAAGGCACTGTACGTACCTACCTGGGATAGTGTGGTTTTCTTTTACAAAACCAGTAATTGTCTCTCACTTGTTTCGGTATCAGACATGTTTTTCTGTGTTTTTTGACAGGGAGTACTGCTTTTTGCCATGTATGTAGCCAATTTATGTGAGGAAGTTGGCATCAATTGCAGGAACTTTGTGCCATGTGAACCTTGACAAACAAAATTGAGAAAAATCTTGGTCGAAAATATAAAAACATTCAACACCCACTCTCAACCTCATGATTTGCCTCTCAAAATGTGAGAAACTGCATTGTCATAGGCTTGAAAATTCAACATTTGACCCAGAACCCCTCTAAACAAATGTATTTCGAGCACAGTCTCTCCTCCCAGGTCCGATCATGAACCTGGACTGACGGAAAAATATTACGAGCTGGCTAGAGCCCTGTTCTACAAATGAAAATTCCCAGAGTAAAGAGACTCTTTTTACACAACCAAGTCTTTTATTCAGCCGACGTTTCGGTGACCGTCTGTCACCTTCCTCAGGGCAATTCTGACTGGTTTACATTGCACTGCAGCACAGGTGTCGCTGCTGTAGATGCATTCCTAAATGTACAATATTTACAGAATTGCCCTGATGAGGAAGGTGGCAGACAGTCACTGAAACGTCAGCTGAAGACTTGGTTGTGTAAAAAGAGTCTCTTTACTCAGTGCCTTACCAACGTGATGAAACTATTCACGAATGTATATTGCCTTCCAGGCTGCCCTTGATGGTTCGTTGGAGATCGTGCGAGACTTGGTGACTCACGGAGCCGACGTTGACTTGTCCCACATCAGAGTCGGGCTGTTTGTGTGCACGCCTCTGTACGGAGCCATTATCCACAAGAGACTGGACTGTTTCAAGTTTCTTCTCTGTTCAGGTATACTAGAACACACAAAGTTGAACTGTAACAGTGGGGGGTTCATAGGTGCTACCAACTGACCCGGCAGATGGGCCATCATTATGAACCTTTTAGCCGAATCGTTAGAGCGTTGGCATGTGGACTGGGTTCGAACCCCGGCCCGGGACCAGGGTTTTTTATCTGTTTCTACTCGCTCCTCCTGTTTCTTACAGTGGTTCCCACACCGGCCCCCAGGGAGTTCTGGCAAAGAGTGCCGCTCCAGGGATGTCGAATTCTGAAGATTCGAGGATGAATCTTGAAAAGAAAGGGGGAGTAGTGTAACAGTGTGGGGTTCATAGGTGCTACTAACTGACCCGGCCAATGGGTCTAGACCTTTTAGCCAAATCGTTAGAGCGTCGGCATGTGGACTCAGGTGCCCGTGTTTGGTCGTGGGTTCGAACCCTGGCCCGGGAGCAGGGTTTTTTTATCTGTTTCTACTTGCTCCTCCTGTTTCTTACAGAAATTTTATTGGAGTCAGCTTTTACAAATGTGAGCCATCATTCAGTTTTAATCCAGATATGATTGCCTCTGACTTTTCTTGAATGTTTCAGGTGCCGACCCAAACTACAACAAAAACAGGGTGCAGAAAATGTTTCCTGGTCGCGCAGTGCAGTCTTTCTTTCATGCAGGTAAGAATATTGAAAAACGTTTTGCCCTTTTCATGATAGTAACTAGCCCACCTTGCCTCTTTGTCTCTCCATGATAAGCGTTGATTGAGAGTGCTGTCCTCACTGCAGCTGGCTGTACTGTAACCCAAAACATTTTGAGTGGCTCTCATGAGCCTTGTGGTGAATCATGAAGTAAATAAAACAAGACTGGCAATGAAAACATACATTGCCATGGCGACGGTGGTTGCTGTTAGGGTTATTGTTTGCATGGCACTGTCATCATTTCATGATTTTGAGGAAGACTTGGTACTTGGACTTTGGTTATTAGTCTAGACAGATACAGTACACTCCTCCCCTGAGTACACAGTAAACGAGCTCCGGGGTCACAGAAAGTAGGGCCATCTGGGGCAGACAGGTCTTCAGGGTTCCAGGAATGTGGGCATGGATGTCAGTCAGAGAAATGCCTGTGGACATTCCGCATGCCTGTGGACAAAATGCCTGTATAATTCCTAGAATTCTTCCGAATTGCAAACAACACTGTACCATTAGGCTCCTCCCTGAGACGTCGCCAAAAAAATCATACATCACTTCCATCTCCCTCAGTTGTGAAGCACAAGTGCCCCCCTGAGTATGCTCACCTGTTGATGGAGTTTGGAGCTGATCTGCACCAGAGAGATGAGATGGACAAGACAGCCGCCGACCTTCACTTCAAATCTGACACCGTCGACTATATAAGGGAGATGGCTGGTGAGTGTAAAGACATAGTGTATCTCCCAATATTAGAGAAAATCAGGTAAAAAAAAAGGTAGGTAAACTTGTTATGGGTTAACATTTGTTGGGTGTAGCCAAACATGGGACCTCCATGTTAATGTCCTATCGTTGGGACGTCCCTTGGTACTCATTTCCACATACTTACTAAGGCACAACATTGGGACATGTCGGTGGATTTGAACCCAGGACCTATGCGCTCTGGGCCAGACACCCAAACAGACTCCCATCTTTGACAATTTAGTTCTTGAGTTAAAACTTAATTGGTCATGAATTCAATCCTAGAAATTCCATGAACTAGTTTGTTTTTATTTAACATAAATAAAGCTCAAAGTTACCCTGTGTGAGTGTGAGAGTGTGTTACATGTACATGTAGATGTGTGGTGTGAGTGTGTGAGTGTGTTAGACATCGGTCCAGAACACAACTGAGCAAACCTCGAAAGCAAATCTTTTACACAGTGAGTATAGAGTAAAACTGCACTGCACAGTATTGCGAGACTGACAGTGCTCTTTTGTTCTAGCGACTCCTTTGACCTTGAAGACCACGTGTCGTCTCTTCATCAGGGGCAATCTTGGGAAGGAGAAGGTCTCTCGGCTACCAGAGCTGCCCCTTCCCACAAAACTGGTCGACTACCTCATGTACAAACCTGAGTGTGGGGAGGTTTTAGGTACAACTGCAGGAGGAGACCTAGTTTCTGATGTACAAACCTGAGTGTGGGGAGGTTTTAGATACAACTGCAGGAGGAGACCTACTTTCCGATATACAAACCTGAATGTGGGGAGGTTTAAGATACAACTGCAGGAGGAGACCTAGTTTCTGATGTACAAACCTGAGTGTGGGGAGGTTTTAGATACAACTGCAGGAGGAGACCTACTTTCCGATATACAAACCTGAATGTGGGGAGGTTTAAGATACAACTGCAGGAGGAGACCTAGTTTCTGATGTACAAACCTGCAGAGTGTGGGGAGGGTTTAAATACAACTACAGGAGGAGACCTAGTTTCTGATATACAAACCTGAGTGTGAGGAGGTTTTAGATACAACTGTAGGAGGAGACCTAGTTTCTGATATACAAACCTGAGTGTGGAGAGGTTTTAGATACAACTGCAGGAGGAGACCTAGTTTCTGATATACAAACCTGAGTGTGGGGAGGTTTTAGATACAACTGCAGGAGGAGACCTATAGTTTCTGATATACAAACCTGAGTGTGGGGAGGTTTTAGGTACAACTGCAGGAGGAGACCTAGTTGCTAAGTCAACACCTTAACTGTTAAAGAAACAGTACATAATTCTTCTAGCGACTCCCTTGTCCTTATAATGTCTAATATAATCGAAAACATGCAATTTGTATTGTCCTTGATAAAGTAACTAATTGTATATATAGTGAATAGTTTCAGATAAGTTTTATTTTGCATGCTAGCTGGCTGCTGCCTACCCCTGCGTCAGGGAACCCCACATTAGTATCAAAGCCTGGAAAGTAAGTGTGAGTGAGCTTGAACACTTTCTGGTACCAAATTTAAAAATTCACATATTATATTAAGATTATAAGAACTTAAAGACAGAAAAAAAATCATTTATTACATCTTATACAACAAAGTACTAAAGTATATTAAAATTTATAAGAATTTTATGGAAGAATTTGAAATGTTGCCTTCCTGTGTTCTATTGTGATGTTTACCAACACTGTTGAACTACAGTTGACTCTGTTAGTGTCCTCTTCCCAACCCCAGTCATGTTGGTTGCCTAGTGTGGTGTCTGGGGCAAGATAAGAGAAGAGCCTGATTGTGTGACAGGGGCTTAAAGGCATCCAGTGCAGTTTTTATGTCTTGAAAACCAGATCTTACAAAGTCAATATTCTAACATTAGTCACTTATCTACATACTAAGTTCAAACCACACTGTCCCAAATGTATCTCGACATTCATCAAGCAAAAACTCTGACAAAAAACGGTTACTGGAAGGACCTGGATTTTTAGGGTACCACCCAAAAATAAAGGACCTATCTTGGGGCTTGTTTCTGCAGTTTTAAATGCCCAAACTATGAAGTACTGATTGAAATATGCTAATGTGAAGCAGTAAGATTGCCTTATTCAGATTTTTCAATTTTTGTTGCCACTAAATTGCATTGGATGTCTTTAAAGTTTATCCTGTGTTCCAGTGTAAGGCCAGACCAATTTAATTTGTTGGTTCTCGGATTCGCCTCTTCATTTTTTTCTGATTTGCAAAAAAAAAAAAAAATTCTGGTTCTGAATCATCTAAAAAATGCTCATATTTTGCTCCCAACAGTTGAGGAAAGTCCTTTTCTTCCTAGTTGTTACAGTTTTTCAATCTTTTAATGCAGTGGTTTGGTTAAAAGTCCAAAATTCATTGTTTAAATTTTATCCCAGCCTTTTGTGTTGACTTCATGGCTCCAATCGAAGCATTTGGGGCTATAATAGGATGCCTAGGCATGTTTTTATTTTTATTTTTTTCGCCCTGTCGCTTCATATTTTTTCTGAAAAAATCCGAGAACCAACAAATTAAATTGGTGTGGCCTAATGTTTACCAACATGGGTGAACTGCAAGCGACTCTATCTGTGTCCTCTCCCCAACCCCAGTCATGTAACGGGACCCCCCATCCTTTGTGTAGGGTCACACCTGACCGACTTGGAGCACTTTCCTTAAACCGCTCAGGCCACGCCAATTTAATTTGTTGGTTCTCGGATTTTTTCAGAAAAAAATATGAAGCGACAGGGCGAAAAATAAAAAAAATAAAAACAGGTCTAGGCAGCCGCAAATGCTCTGATAGGAGCCATGAAGTCAACACCAAAGGCTGGGTTAATATTTAAATAATGAATTTTGAACTTAATCAAACCACTGTATTGATACATGAAAAAACTGCAGCAACTAGAAAGAAAAGGACTTTCCTCAACTGTTGGGGGCAAAATATGAGCATTTTTTAGTTGATTCATGATCAGAACCAGATTTTACCTTTTTTGTTTGCAAATTAGGAAAAAATGTAGAGGCGACTCCAAGAACCAACAAATTAAGTTGGTATGGGCTCAGGTGTTTTCTTCACCTGTACTTAAGAGGCTCCGCACGCCAAGGTGAGCCATCTTGTCTTAGGAAAGGTCACCCTCTTAGAACACGCGAGAAGGGCAGGTAAGACATCCAAACGTTTCTTCACTCTTTTAGGTGCTTTGTATGGCAAGGGTGGTTAATTTCGGATCTATAATTATGCCCACTTTTTTATATAGAAAAATTGAAATAATTTAGAAACTTGTAGCCTTTAAAATTTTTGCACTGGAGTTGTAATTGTGACTGAGTATAATGTGAGGCAAAGATGGTGTGTTACGCAGAAGGGCGGTTTATACCGGCCCGATAGTTACAGAAATATGGCACAATGTTCTAAGACTTTGTACTTTGTAGAAAAAAATCATGATCCATACAAATTCATCAGCCTTGCTTTGTTACTACCTAACAGGGCAAACTGTTAAGTAAAGAGACTCTTTTTACACAACCAAGTGTTTTATTCCAGCGACACCTGTGCTGCAGTGCAATGTGAACCAGTCAGAATTGCCCTGAGGAAGGTGACAGACGGTCACGGAAACGTCGTCTGTGAAAAAAAACGTTTGTGTAAAAAGAATCTCTTTACTCAGTAACCAACTATTCAAGGACAAACTGTTGTCCTGGACTATTCATGATAGCAATTGGCTTTGCTGTATTCAGTGTCTGTAATACCTGTTCACAATGTGTAAGACCCTTGCTATTGGAATACCACCATAATATGATTATGTCTGATTATTGAAGGCTACAAATTAAATACACTGAAACAAGGCTCCATGAACAAAGTACTTTCCCCCAATTCAGTCGCAAAAGTTTTTCTGTACCAGAGAGCTTCCGAAGGATCTGTCTACCAGTTCTAACCAGTTCTAACCAGTTCTAACAGCTGACAATAGTAACGGTAAACAATTCTACCGAACGTTGGCCCTAACTTCTCATGTGTCCATCTGCTCTGACTATGCAAAACCTAGTCAGTCAGATCTGTATAATTTCGCCCACTTTTGATATAGAAAACTTTAGAATAGAGGTTAATTTAGAAAATTATAGTTTAAAATTTTTGCACTGAAGTTGTAACCAGTACAATGTGGCACGATGTTGTTGAAAACTTTCTAAAATCTACATTAGTTTACTGTAAATAGAGGGCCTGCATGCCCCTTTTCGTAAGGCGTAATCAGGCCTTTTTAGTCTTTGTAATCCATAGGCAGCCTCCCCCAAAATCAATGTAATTCATAATAGAACATTAACTGCAAAGCATAAAATCGTAATCAGCTCTGAGACTTAAATGTACTGCATAATTGGTGGCGAAAATTTTGCATAATTCGTTATCACTACCCCCCATGTAGGACCTCTAAATAGTATAAAGCTATTGTATTATAAAGTGGGGTCTTAATTAACTCTTAGGTATTGTTATCAATTGTATTAGTCTCTTGTATTATAGATTAATATCAGTGATGATAGTCGGCAGCTAAACAACTTTAAAATTGCACACATTCTCTGCGGTCTTCTAAGCCTGATACCCGAGGCTATCACAGCCAGTTAGACCAGATAATTATCTCGTGACACGCAGTTACCTGCACAGGCCAAGGCCTGTACAAGTTTGCGTGCATGGCCTTGTAACACTCAGTTACATGCACATGTTAGGGACTGTACAAGTCTTAGTCGCTCACTACTGTCGTGGAATATGTCACTAAGTACATCGACTTGAGATTACAACGCTTAGAGTACGGCTGTAGAGGCACTGAGAAGAGGTTGGTCTTTATGAATCTTGGAATCTCTCTTTTCTACAAGTGGAACTGTTGGACTTGTTGGGTTTGTGCCACACAGTTAGGTGTACATGTACTGTACAACAATTCTTTGTCATGTAACCTCGTTTCACAAAGCACAGCCTTGACGCTTTTGTACAAGTGGCTATGTGTAACAGCCGGGGGCATTTAGGATGTTTTTCTGAGGCAAGGTCATTAACAGTAGCAACAACATGAATTCAGTAAAATGTTGAACTTTATTCCAACTCAAGAATTACACAGCGATAAAATTTTCAACGACCACTGTCGCCTTCATCAGGATTATGAATGACAATCACTGCAAAACGTAATATCGCGAGATTGTGTTGGAATAAAGCTTAACATTTTACTATGATTATAACTTCCAATGCAGATGAACTTTTATGATACATGTAACATGAATTCAGAGATTTCATACGTCCGCGAAATTTGTTATTTATTTGTCTCGTTAATTATGGAAAGGTTATAATTAGCATCATCTATGCTAATTCATGGTTTTTGCAACTGCAAATTAATTTTAAGTGTTGAAGTCTTGTAATTTGGCAAGGTTCCACTTTGAAATTTCAATGAGAAAATAAGTACTAGTAACGTTAGTTGACAGACATTCATTTAAAGGCATCCAAGCAATTTTCAGGGCTCAGAAGCCAGAATTTCAAAGTCAATAAATCCGTCACTAGACATATTTAGTAACAACACTGTCCCAATGTATACTGACATTCTTGGAGAAAAATGCCCTTGGGCAAATTCTCAGGAAAAGCGGTAACTGGAGGGACCTGGGTTGATTTTTAGGGTAACACCCAGAAAAAAATAGCCTGGGTGCCATCCGATTTGTAAGGGCAACCCCAAATTTTTTTTTTTCTTTGCTGTTACAAATCGGATGGCACCCAGGCTAAGAAAATAAAAGACTCATCTTGGGGCTTGTTTCTGCAGTTTTAAACGCCTAAAGTACGAAATACTGATTCAAATGTGCTAATGTTGGGCAGTATGTGTCAATATCATGCAGAATATTTCCAGTTTTGCCGCCCTGAAATTGCATTGGATGCCTTTATTGACCTTCCCTAAAGTTCTCTTGCAGGTGTGTTGTTGACACAAAAGTACAGTGGCCCACAAGTACATACCTGCGTCGCCTGTGCGAAAATACCTGTGGTATTAAAGTGGACAAACCATGGCTGAACACGAGAACGGTGCTGAAGAATCTCTGGTGTTCCAGAACGCAGTGCCTGGTGAGGTCAGGGACGACATGCCGGTTAGTCTGGTTATCTATAATTACAAGCATGTTTGCAGCCCTAGCTAGGGCTGAATTGCACAGTTTTAACAAAACATTATACAAATTGTGTCGTATATTGATTAAAATACATGATACGTTGTAGATTGATTAAAATACACACTTGTAAATTGGTCAACAATACTAAGTACTATGTACGCTTCCTACCTATCCCACTAGAGGGCGTCATTTCAACTACATGTACTTCTGTCTAGAGTTTCAACGTCTTACTATACTTGGCTACAGCGTAAAACCAGTTTAACCTATATGTACACCTTATGTACAGGTAAGAGTGAACTACAACCATGCTCTGGAGTACCTTGGCGGGTTCGGACTCTGGCAGAAGAGGTTGTTCCTCCTCATCTGTCTGCCTGCCGGATTTAGCGCCTTCCAGGTGATGGGGATCGTCTTCCTCGCGTTCGAGCCCGACTTTAAGTGCCAGGTGCCCCTGGAAGCCTTTTCGGGGCTGAACGCGACCCCGGCCGAGCTGCTGAACATCACCATCCCCTGGGAGGTCAAGGACGGGGAATGGAAACGGAGTCAGTGCGAACGGTTAGTTTTTCTCTCTTTTTCTCTCGGGGGCCAACATCGTCTACCAGATACCTTTGACCCAGTGTTGACGTCACACTTCAAAGAAGCCACGTGACAAGCCTCACTGAGTCAGTCTACTGAGGAAGACCAGAGGGACTGGTTGAAAGTTCTAGGTGAGAACGTTTTTTCGTGCTGGATCAAAAGAAATAGATAAATAGAGATTGGGTGATGATTACATCAGATTTTTATAATCAGTTACAGCTACAATGTTTCCAACACGGACCTGCACTCCTCCTTTCGAGACTTTGTGGAAGCATACCCCACAGCCAACCGGACCCAGATCCCATGTGACCAAGGGTACGAGCATGACACGTCCGAGTACAAGAGCACTGTTGTTACCGACGTAAGTTCTTGTTATACTCAGGGTTCCCTTTGTTTAATCGGCATGTAATTTTATACGTCGTCTGCAGGCATGCCCCTGCTGATGCAGGTGTTTATATTTTTACCGTAGCTGTTTCATGGTCAATGAAATATTTCAGAGGCACCCCTAAATTTAAGAGGCATTTGTTGTATCTATCCACAGTGGGACCTGGTGTGTAAGAACAGCTGGAAGGTCAGTCTGGCCGAGTCTATGTGGTTCGCCGGGCTCATGGTCGGAGCGGTGGTGGGCGGGCACATAGCCGACAGGTGCGCTTGTTTTCTTGTTTGTTTGTTATGTTTACCATAGGGATATTGTTTTTGCTATGTTTCCTCTTCTTCCCTTCCAAATATAAAAGCTCAATGACCTGAACCAGACGTCTGTCACCATGCCATCTAGTGTTGGATTACATCAGGAGTGATTTAGACTCCTGTCACCATATATGTGATATTAGCAAATGTACATCTGTAGCATCTGTACATCTGTAGCATTTGTACATCTTCCCCTTTCTCTCTTTCCAAGATGGGGTCGGAAACCGGTCCTGTTGGCTTCTCTAGCGGTCGTGTATCTGTTCGGGATCGTCTGTGCCTTCTCACCGAACTACGCCGCGTTTGTATCCTTCCGCACCATCATAGCGGCCTGCACCATGGTCTCCGTGCTGGTGCCATTCGTCATGGGTACGCTAGGTGTCTTTTTTTTTTTAGAGAACTTAGGTCACACTCATTTAATTTCATGGATTACATCCGTGTGCGTATTGATTTCCGCCTGTTCTAAAAAAAAATCACCTCCTCCAATGCTCTGGCCTGGTTGCCATTCTCTGTACAGTCCATGGTAGCTAGCGACAATAGGGAGCCAGCGGTAACTACGGAGGATGGCATCCAGGTACCGAAACTCCATGGAACTCAAGAACTCAGTACAGTGCTGACTCATAAATGCCATGAAAGGCCAGCATGTGCCGGCTTGTCGTAAAAGTTGCTATGTACTACTAACCGCAAATTCACATTACCAGCTTTGTATTCCTGTGGTTTAGCAGCATTGTTTAGCTGCATTATTCGCCTAAAGCCGCATTATAAGTCAGTGTGGGGTTTTCATATTACAACTTATCTTTCCAATTATCTAACATGCTATCACGCCCATCATGAACTGTTTTTTTTTTTTAATTCTATCATTAGTAACAGAGCTGGTGTCCCCCGACAAGCGCAGTCTGGTGGGGATGGTGATCTGGATCTACTGGGCGGTGGGGTACGTGCTGCTGTCCGGGATAGCTTACTTCATCCGCACCTGGATGTGGCTTCAGATTGCCGTCACCATGCCCTATCTCATCTTCATTTCCTTCTGGTGGTGAGTGATAGACCAGTTTACCTTTCACAGATCACATGAATTGTTAACATCTAGATGGGCTAATGTCGTAAACAAGATGTAAGAAATATGTGGTAGCCATCAAGGACCCCTTAGGCCACACCAATTCAATTTCTTGGTTAACGGATTTTTTTTTTTAAATAATGGAGCAGGCGGGCGAAAAAAAAATACAGACAGGCCTACGCATCCTACTATGGCCCAAAATGGTACGATAGGAGCCATGAAGTCAACACACCAGGCTGGTTCAAAATTTAAACAATGAATTTTGAACTTTTAATGATACTACTGCATTGAAAGATGGAATAACTGTAACAACTAGGAAGAAAAGGACTGTTTTCAACTGTTCAGGGCAAAATATGAGCATTTTGCAGTTCATTCTGAATTTTTTTTTTGCAAATCAGAAAAAAATGAAGTGGGCGAATCGATATCCGTTAACCAAGAAATTAAATTGGTGTGGCCTTAGGGATTAACCCAATTCTGCAGAATTCTGAACTGGAGCCAGAATTCTGGGAAGAATTCTGGGAAGAATTCTGCAGAATTGGGTTAATCCCCAAGGGGTCCTTGATAGCTGCTACATAATTATACATATTTCTTACATCATGTGTATCTATAGTTAACGACATTAGCCTATCTAGATGTAAGGTTGCTGAGATATGGGAATTAGTCCAGAATTAAACTGGAAGTCAAGAATTAAACTAGAGGCTGTTACTACATGTGATGTATACAAAGTACTTTTGTCCCCGTTTCAGGCTTGTTCCCGAGTCCCCGCAATGGCTGATCTCCAGAAATCGTCACGAAGAGGCGGCCGCCATTTTGAAGGATGCCGCAAGGGTCGCCAAGGTCACCCTACCTGATGAAGTCTTCCATGATACAATTCCTTTAGCCCAGGTACAGAAAAAAAATTATATTTTGTACTACTATTATGTCACAGAATAAGGTGTTCATACAAACATCAAGTTAGCCTCCTGTGCAGGCCTCCAGGCCAGTTTTGATACCACGTTTTGTAGAATTTTAACGTGTTCTTTTGCCAGCCATCCTTCAACCAGCCACCCATAGAAGGGTGGTATACTCACCGCAAATGTGGTTGTAGGATTGCTGGCAAAAGAACACGTTAAAAATTCTACAAAACGCAGTATCAAAACTCCCACCCGCCCGGAGGCCTCCACAAGAGGCTACATCAAGCCATTTTATTTTGTATCCTTTAGCTAGTAGTCGAGTGGATTCATTCCTCAAGCTAACAGACATCTCTCACACAGCAGTCATCTATTAGTTAACATTGAAGCCGCATAGTTCCCGTTTAGAACTTTTATTCAGCCTGTCACTGCCCGTTTTACCATGTGGGCTTTTTATACCACGTGTACCATGTTTTACCATGTGCTAAATTACACAAGTTCAAAATGTCCTTTTATACATGTTACCTTACCAAGTCATTTTGTTGTTGTTGCTGCCATCTTTCATATTCCCAAACTAATAGAAAGAATATTCCAAAGACGGCATATCTATTGGTGTGTTCATACTTTGTTCACATCGTAGTTTTTTTTTTTTGCTTTCTTTAAGACGGAGGAAAAGGCTAAGAAGAAAGAGAAGGTCTTCACATTCATTGACCTGTTCAGAACCCCGAACCTTCGGAAATGGTCTGTCAACATTTTCTTCAACTGGTCAGTGAAGCCTCATTTTGTTGATTTTATTTCATTTCATTTCATGAAGGTCAGACATCCAGGAAATAATACCAACTGAAGGTAACAGTTACTCAAGTAACTGGATAGATTTTGCAAATGGACAGACATTTCGGGTAGCATCCACTACCTTTCATCAGTTACTTTATCCAAGTTTGAACTGTAATATCCAACACAAGAATTTGGACTTACCCAAACTTTTTCGAATTCAGCATAGAGCCTTGTCGGGACCCCCCCTTGCAGGCCCCCATATAACACACGTGACTCCGTGAGCAGTGGATCATAGGTTGCAGAAAGTCTGTGGCACCCCCAGTCTCTGTTGAGGGATGGTTGTAATACCCTGATGTAGATGGCATATTTAATCACTCGTGCGAAAAAGTCTGATTCTGTGTCAAAGATTCTTACTTCATCCAATGAGACTGAATGTCCAGGCAATTTATTATGTATATGTTGTGAGACTTTAGAAATATGTATGTTGCGAGACTTCCGAAGAAGTCGAGCTAGGTTGTTTGTGTTCTACGAACCTAGATGTCAGGGATCTTTCGGTCTCTCCAATGTGTTTCTTTACATAGGCCCGTGGAGTTCTGTCCTTGACACTGTATATGGCAAACTACCCCACTAACTGAACTGCTACCTTGATTATCCACTGTGTCCTCAGGGTCGTCAACACTCTGGTGTATTACGGGATTTCCCTCAACACAGCTGCTCTGAGTGGAAACTTGTACCTAAACTTTGCCATTTCCGGGCTCATCGAGATTCCGGCGTATCTGATCTCAATCTTCATCCTGGACAGGTACTGTGTTTATTATGTTTACAAAGACTTGACTGAACCAGACTGTTGGGTTAAATCATGTTGCAATTTTAGAGTAGGAAGGATTTAGACTGTCACCATATATGTGAATGTGTGAAGAATATTAAACAAGGGCAGACCATATGCGAAGGTAAACATTAATATGCATTTGCTTTTCAAATGTTACTTTTCTAGTCTATTTATTTATTAGATTGGCTTACAACAACCAGGGTTACCTAACTAGTCATGAACTATTATTATTTAAGGGTCAACCCTGGGAGAGAAGGAAAGCGTTAGGTATACATACAAATACAATATTGATAAGACACACAATAAAATTTACAATAATATATACATAAATTGGATCATACAATCATATACAAATTAGGCTAGACCAAGTGTGAAGGTAAATATGCTACATTTGCTTTGCAAATGTTACCTTTCTAGTTTCTGTTTCCATTACTCTTTCCCCTGTAGGTTTGGAAGACGCTGGCCTCTGTGTGGGCTGCTTCTGTTTGGAGGCGTCGCCTGTATCGTGGCCTTCTTCATCCCCAAACGTGCGTACTTACACGCATAGACAAGGGTTCCAAACCATTCATACGAATTCACTAAATACTGTACATACTATGTACAGTACGTGTATATTTAGTAAATTCGTACGAATTCACTAAATACTGTACAATGTACATTCTACACCCTATACAATCTATTATGAGAGACATACGAATTTTACGGAATGCATACGACATAAAATACATTACTTCGAAACATTTGATCCTTACTAATTTGGTGACCTGTGCCTGAATCACCAAATTAGTAAATATCATATGTTTCCAAGTAATGGATCGTATGTACGTGTATTCCGTAAGATTCATATGTTTCTCGTAATAGATTGTTTGTATTTTTTAAAATCTGTATGTATCCTTGTAATAGATTGTGTGGATATTATTTATGGATATTATTTAGTGAAATTCGTATGATTCCTTGTAATGGATCATATGTATTTCGTAAAATTCGTATGAATTCGTATGATTTCAGTAAAATTTTTATGAATTCTTTGGCAACCCAGATAGCCCAGATAGAAACCTTCTTTTTTTAGTAAATTTATACTTTGTCCTGATCAGTAGGTCAGCAGATTTTTCACCGTTTTGTTGTTGTTATTGGATGTTTGGTCAAAGTTGCATTACATTTTTTTCGGTACGACATAAATTTTGAAACCTTGATTTAAGACGGGATGTCATCCTTGAAAAAAATGCGCGAATACGACCATAAACGTGCTAGCACAAGCAAAATACATCACGGGTTTCGCGCAGGCGCAGTGCATCCTGCTGACGTGTACATGTACTACATCGCAGTCTTTTCAAGAAGCTGAATTTTTCAAAGTTTTTTATTCAACAATAATACAAAAACTACACACATTTGTCACACAGGTTTGCCACAGGCAATTATAAAGGTACAGAGATTAGTTGATCTCGATGTTAGAATTTTTAATTTTTTTAAATTATCTTTATGCAAGAATTTTTCAAAGTTTTTTATTCAACAATAAAATACATAATACAAAAACTACACACATTTGTCACACAGGTTTGCCACAGGCAATTATAAAGGTACAGAGATTAGTTGATCTCGATGTTAGAATTTTTAATTTTTTTAAATTATTTTTATGCAAGAATTCAAACATAATACATGCATAAATGAAACTACACAATACAAAAAACTGCACAAAAACATGTAACGATTTTAGAACAGTTCAAATGCATTTCTACTTGGTCAGTTTTACACAAGGTAATTATAATACATTGTAGTTACAAAGTGAGGATCATGTGGCATATCGACAGAGTGTTCGGCTCGGACGCAAGAGGTTCTGAGTTCGAATCCTACCCTGCCACCGATCTTGTGCCCTAGGCCTTGTTGGGAAGGGCACTTAACACAGCTTTTCTAGCTTCACTCAGGTGAAAATGAGTATGTCTATTGTACGTTCAGGCGTTTGTACTCTGTGTAAGTGGCGGCATAAAACAGGTTGAAAAACTTGAGTGTGCCATCACCATGAGTGATAAACATTGGAATAAAAAAAGATTAGTAAAGATGGTTAGAATGGCAACGTCTAGCATCAGAAGGCTTTGATAGTCAAGAGATGTCACTTTTATATACAGTTTAATACAGCCTTACTTGATTGTCCCCAATCAAAACTTGCACTGAAGTCATTTAAGTCTCTACTTCATATTATTAAATAGTGGACCGCGCACGCTGTGATGTCATTTTCAATGGCGTCGCTTCAACTAGACATTTTATTTGCTTTCCACATAAATAAATGCCAATGTCATTCGGTTACTGAACTGTTCGCTGCACAAGGGTGGGTTTGCATATGTCTCTTCAGATGACCCAGATGACTTAACTGTTTGCTACACTCCTCACACCTGTAGGTTTCTCTCCAGTGTGAGTTCGTATGTGTCCTTTCAGATGACTGAACTGCTTGCTGCACTCACACTTGTACTCTCCAGAGTGAGATCCTATGTTTTGCTTCAGACTACCCAGCTGACTAAACTGTTTGCTGCACTCCTCACACGTTTAGGGATTCTCACCAGAGTGAGTCCGCATGTGTTTTTTCAGAATACCCAGTCGACTAAACTGTTTGCTGCACTCCTCACACCTGTAGGGTTTCTCACCGGTGTGAGTCTGCATGTGTCTCTTCAGATTACCCAGTTCACGAAACTGTTTGCTGCACTCCTCACACCTGTAGGGTTTCTCTCCGGTGTGAGTCCGCATATGCTTCGTCAGAGAACCCAACTCACTAAACTGTTTGCCACACTCCTCACACCTGTAGGGTTTCTCACCGGTGTGAGACCGCATGTGTGTCTTCAGAGAACCCAGGTCACGAAACTGTTTGCTGCACTCCTCACACCTGTAGGGTTTCTCTCCGGTGTGAGTCCGCATATGCTTCTTCAGAGTAGCCAACATACTAAACTGTCTGCTGCACTCCTCACACTTGTAGGGTTTCTGGCCAGTGTGAGTCCGTTTGTGTATCTTCAGATCATCCAGCCGACTGAACTGCTTGCCACACTCCTCACACCTGTAGGGTTTCTCTCCAGTGTGAGTTCGTATGTGTGCCTTCAGAGAACTCAGCTGACTAAACTGTCTGCTGCACTCCTCACACCTGTAGGGTTTCTCTCCAGTGTGAGTTCGTATGTGTGTCTTTAGATTACTTGCTGTGCAGAACTGCTTGCCGCACTCCTCACACCTGTAGGGTTTCTCACAGGTGTGAGTCCGCATGTGGCTCTTCAGAGAACCCAGTTCACTAAACTGTTTGCTGCACTCCTCACATCTGTAGGGTTTCTCACCAGTGTGAGTCCGCATATGCTTCGTCAGATTACCCAACTCACTAAACTGTTTGCTGCACTCCTCACACCTGTAGGGTTTCTCACCAGTGTGAGATCCCATGTGTCTCTTCAGATTACCTAGCTGACTGAACTGCTTGCCGCACTCCTCACACCTGTAGGGTTTCTCACCGGTGTGAGTACGCATGTGTTCCTTCAGATGACTCGGTAGACTGAACTGCTTGCTACACTCCTCACACCTGTAGGGTTTCTCACCAGTGTGAGTACGCATGTGTTCCTTCAGATGACTCGGCCGACTGAATTGCTTGCCACACTCCTCACACCTGTAGGGCTTCTCACCAGTGTGCGTACGCGATGAAGCTGACGTCAGCGCTCTTGTTGCCATGGTGATGAAGTGTTTGTCCTGGAGAAATCATGAAAAAGTCCATAGCTTATTGAAACATTCGAGCAATATTTATGTAAGATTTTCACTAATTTGAACATCGTTGTTTTACACATTTGCCTACCTGGGTTCATAATGACATTTGGGGAGTAAAAGATCAATGCCGCTGCGCCGCGAAAACGCGTTGGAAGCTGCCAAAGATACCCGAACAAAAGCCGCTGTTTGTTAACATTCTTTTTACTAAAAATTAATGTATTTTTAGGAGGCAAAAGTTTAGGAGCCTCCTAAAAATACAGCGGGAATGGCGTTCTCTTTTTCTCGCGCTGTGCTGAGTCACCGGAAAAGCGAAATTGTTGCGCATATATATTGAAAGTTATTGAAAATGAAACTGTACATGACAAAATTTTAATTATCTAAATTTACGGGACTTGACGTCGGAAACACGTGATTGCAGCAGAGGGTCATACGTCAGATAACCTGTGTCGTCCCCCGTCGGTAGACGGGTCCATTCCGTGAACTGAAAATTTGGGTAAGTCCCAGTTTACCTAGTGTTGGCACAGAACGTTTTGCCTTTTTGTCATAATGAAGTATACCAAGTATTACCAACACAGATAAACTTTCATGCTAAGCAATGATACCAGTAATGCTACATGACTTGCAAGACAGATGATATCACAATATCATCCGTCTCCGTCACAATATCACCCCCCTCTGAGAGTAGTGTGGTATAGCCCATTAGTCCTACGGTGGACAACAGCTGTTGATAGACGATACCACTCCAGATACAGCACGGGGGTGTCGCATAATATTGGTACATTACTTCAAAATGTTGCTAAAGTATGCCCCCAAAACATGTTATGGGACCTCAATAGCTAACCACGTGATCATGAGTTATAAGTGCGAACAGACAAACGTAACCAAAACATAATTCTATCGAGACCTTGATGTCCACTGTATGGCTAATAGGCTATACGACACTACTCCCAGAGGGGGGGTTGCCTGTATTGTGATATCAGCCGCTGCAGCCGTCTTGCAAGTCATGTAGCATTACCGATATAACTAGATAAACTTTCATGCTAAGCAATGATGTCCAGTAATGCTACATGACTTGCAAGACGGCTGATATCACAATACAGGAGACCCCCCCTCTCGGAGTAGTGCCCATTAGTCCTACGGTGGCCAACTACCTAGTAGGCCAACAGCTGACAGCTGTTGATAGACGATACCACACCCACTACGTCCGGACATGACAATCAACTGAAGAGTGGCCCCCAAAAAAACAGGAAAATGTAGCACTTGTTTCACCTGCTGCCAACCAGGCCATTTCGCCAAGGACTGTTCAAACTACACCAAGGCAACTTAGTTCTATAGGTTCAGTGTTCACAGCTTCCCCCCCCCCCTCTCAGGCCTGCGTCTACAACAGTCCATCCGCCTTTATCCGAAACCCTTGATCTCGCCTCCACTGACTACTTAGTATCCTTGTTTTTTCAGGCCACTGTGACCAATATATTCGACCCAGTTCTCTCCCACACTGATACCATCTCTCTTCTGGACCCCACAGCAGCTTCCCCTAGCCTCTATCAGGCACCGCGGATCGCTGGATAAATAGTAGAAATCGGCAGAAATAAAGGAATAATATACCAGGGGAGGTAGCCGGCCACAGAAGCGACCTCACCCACACGCCGATTTCTACTGTTTTTCCAGCGATCCGCGGTGCCTGGTAGAGGCTACTTCGGAGGGGAAATTTAACCCTCCCGCGGACTGACTCTCTTGGCTAATTATTTCCCTTTCTGACAAATTCTACGATCCGTAACCCCGTAGGAAGGCTTGGTGGAGGCTACAAAAATCTGATTGGGCTTGGTGTATAATGTCCTTGGTGAAACACATATGACAGGGCTAAAGACGACTACATCATCCAACCGAGGTTTAACTAGAGGGTGTAACATCAATCTGAAAAATAGTTTAGAAAAACAAGACATTACCTTGGGAATATCAGCGATAACGGCTTGATGAACCAAACCAAGGGTCTTCTTGTTATGAGGCAAGAAAGTCTGTCGACGCGTCCGCTCGGAGCTTCGGCTTGTCTGACAAATGACGTACTGTACTGTGTAGTCTGGGGTCTAATTCCATATGCTATGACCAATCAGGGATTGCCTTACATACACTCACGCGAAAAACATCTCGTGTTCTCGTGAGTGTATAAAAGGCGATCTCTGATTGGCCACAGCATATGTAAATTTCTCCCTCCCTCAGACTACACAATACAGTACGTCATTTGTCAGGCAAGCTGAAACTGTGAGCGGACGCGTCTACAGACATTCTGCCTTACAGCAAGAAGACCCTTGGTTTGGTTCATCAAACTCTTATCGCTGAAGGTAATGTCTTGTTTTCCTAAAGTCTCTTTTAGATTGGTGGTACACCCTCTCAAGTTTAACCTAGTCCCTTTTTAACCTCCTTGGTTTCAGAGATCGAAATCATTTCATTGTTGGGTGATGTAGTCGTCTCTACCGCTAGACAGAATTATGATGTGGCCTGTCATATGTGTTTCACCAAGCCCAATCATAGTTTTTGTAGCCTCCATCAAGCGTACGGAGTGCGGATCTTAGAATTCGGCAAAAAGGGAAATAATTTGCCATGCGCCAAGAGTGTCAGAGTCAACTGGGAGGATTAAATTTTCCCCTCCGAACCCCACGGGCGATTATGTACTTTTCGTTAGCCTGGTTACCAGACCTATTATATCTCCGCAGTCCTACAACCTCTACGCAACTATAATAGGTCTGGTAACCAGGCTAGTTTTCGTTGCTAAACTCCCCTGGCCGGTTATTCTCCCTGTTTTGAGACGTTTTCCTGTTTTTGAACCCTCGTCGTTAGTCAAAAAGAAACTAGTGATTTTAGGCGCTTTGTCGGGCCTGCATTTTTGGGGGGAAGGAGGAAGAAACCTAACAGATGTTGTCATTATCATGTAAATAGCACTGTTTGTTCCCAAACCAGTACATTCCTATACATCTCAGAGGCAGACAATTTGCACAAAGGATTTGTTTGAAGAGCTAGAATGAAAGGTCACTTTTAGCATAATGGGTGTTTGCTGCCTGAGGTTGTTGCCTCTGGATCGAAGACAATGTACTAGTACTTAGTATTCCAGAACTCAGTACGGTGATCATGACCAGTGTCGACGACCCACAAATGCAGAAAACGCTAGCCTCTACCAGGCTTCGGGACGCGGCTGGAAAGAGTAGAGATCGGTCAAATAGAGAGATAACATGCCGAAGGAGTTGGTCCGCTAGAGAGTACATTTTGCCGCACCCGACAGGCTTCGGGAGCGGCAAACTGTTCTCTCCAGCAGACCAACTCCCCTGGCATGCTATCTCTCTATTTGGCCGATTTTTACTCTTTCCAGTCGCCTTCCGAAGACTGGTAGAGGTTTATATATCCCATTCCTGTGGTTTATCAGCATTTTTTTTTTTGGCTGAACTTTTTTACTATTCGCCCGCCTGCATTATACATTAGTTTGGGGGTCTTCAAAGGATGTCTTTTATAAAAGTTAATCAGTCAGTGTGGCCTAATATGTTTTCAGCTGTTCTACAACCCAGTAGCCTGACTGAACCTCGCTTTTCGCCGGCTCCCTAGTCCGCCAACCAAAATGTAGGGAGCCCCCGGAACTTGGGTTTCACAGACTGTGTTGTCGAATGCATTGATCCGTCTGGGCTATAAGACTTTTTAATGGGGGTGAGAAGGCCCCAGCAGAATTTTGTTTAAGATTATGTTTGTCTGTTCGCACCTACAATTCATGATCACGTGGAAAGTTATTAAGGTCCCAAAACTTGCTGTGTGTTTTTTTTCATATTTATCAGTATTTTCGGGTAATGTAGCAAGATTATTCTACACCCCCGTGATGTATGTGAGTGGTATCGTCTATCAACAACTGTTGTCCACTGTAGAACTAATGGCTATTGGCTATACCACACTACTCTCAGTAGGGGGTTCGCCTGTATTGTGATATCAAGAGTTTTGCAAGTCATGTAGCATTACTGGTATCATTGCTGTTAATGAGATATCCGAACCTGTCAGCAGTTGTTATGCATTATACACTTTCTAGAGGTGTGAAATCTCAGATGTCTCCTTATGATTCTTGTATGAAAACTCGCATTGATGATTGGTTCTTCTGGCTTGCAACAGTTACTACATATATAAGGACCAATCGTTAATTTTTCGCTAAGCTATACACTTTTTCGTTATTTCCTCAGAACAAATAGTTCATCACCATGGCAACAAGAGCGCTGACGTCAGCTTCACCGCGCACTCACACTGGTGAGAAACCCTACAAGTGTGAGGAGTGCAGCAAGCAGTTCAGTCAGCTGGGTAATCTGAAGAAGCACATGCGGACTCACACAGGTGAGAAACCCTACAGATGTGAGGAGTGCGGCAGCCAGTTCAGTCATCTGTTTAATCTGAAGATCCACATACGGACTCACACTGGTGAGAAACCCTACAGGTGTGAGGAGTGTAGCAAGCAGTTCAGTCAGCTGGGTAGTCTGAAGAAACATTTGCGGAATCACACTGGCGAGAAACCCTACAAGTGTGAGGAGTGTAGCAAGCAGTTTAGTGAGCTGGGTTCTCTGAAGAAACACATACGAACTCACACTGGTGAGAAACCCTACAGGTGTGAGGAGTGTGGCAGGCAGTTCAGTCAGCTGGGTAATCTGAAAGAACACATGCGTACTCACACCGGTGAGAAACCCTACAGGTGTGAGGAGTGCAGCAAGAAGTTCAGTCAGCTGGGTCATCTGAAGGTACACATGCGTACTCACACTTTAGAGAAACCCTACAGGTGTGAGGAGTGCGGCAAACAGTTTAGTATGCTGGGTCATCTGAAGAGACACATGCGGACTCACACAGGTGAGAAACCCTACAGGTGTGAGGAGTGCAGCAGGCAGTTCCGTCATCTGAGTAATCTGAAGAGCCACATGCGGACTCACACTGGTGAGAAACCCTACAGGTGTGAGAAATGTGGCAAACAGGTTTAGAGTGTTGGGTTCTCTGGAGAAGCATATGCGGACTCACACCGGTGAGAAACCCTACAGATGTGAGGAGTGCAACAAACAGTTAGTGAGCCGGTAATCTGAAGAAGCATATGCGGACTCACACTGGTGAGAAACCGTATAAATGTGAGGAGTGCAACAAACAGTTCAGTGAGTTTGGTTCTCTGAAAGTACACATGCGAACTCACACTGGGGAGAAACCGTACAGGTGTGAGGAGTGCAGCAAACAGTTTAGTTTGCTGGTTAATCTGAAGAAGCACATACGGACTCACACTGGTGAGAAACCCTACAGGTGTGAGGAGTGCAACAGGCAGTTCAGTGGCTGGGTGATCTCAAGAAACACATGAGAACTCACACTGGTGAGAAACCCTACAGGTGTGAGGAGTGCAGCAGGCAGTTCAGTCAGCTGGGTTCTCTGAAGGCACACAGGTA